GACTGCCAAAAGAACCAATAGATCTGTTTTGGAAGAGGTACAACCAGAGTGCTCCTTGGAGGCCAGGATGACTAAGCTTTGTCTCTCATACTTTGGACATATTGTCAGGAGGGAACAGTCGCTGGAAAAGAATATCATGCTGGGTAAGATGGAGGGTCAGAGAAAAAGAGGAAGACCCCCAACAAGATGGATTGGCCAGGTGGCATCATTGATGGCATCGAGTGTGGCGACGGTAGTGAAGTTGGCCCAGGATCAGACATTATTTCGTTCTGCTGTGCATGGGGTCACTATGAGTTGGTGCCGACTCGATGGCACCTGACAACAACAACATCTCTAAGTAGCAAACATTACATGGTAGTGGTGGTTATGTAGTAGTTATGTGCTGTGGAGTCGGTTCCAACTCATAGCAACCTTACATAGGGTTTCTGAGGCTGTAAATCTTTACAGGAGCAGAAAGCTTTATCATTCTCCAGTGTAGCAGCTGGTAGCTTTGAACTTCTGACTTTGAGGTTATCAGCCCGACTCATAACCACCATGCTACCATAGCTCTTTATAAGTTACATAGGCATTCTATAAATAAAATGTATAAACTTATTAAAATAGTATAGCTAAATTATTTCATAGTATCTTAATGAGATTCATTAAATATTAGATTGTTTGACCTGTAACTGTGTAAACAAGAGTTACTATTTTTGCCTTATTACTATGCAAAAAACTTTTTGGTAAAATCATCTGGGTTAATCTGTTTTGACTCCAAAGCAGTATTTCCCATAGTAGTTTCATATGAAGTATAGCTTTAAAATACAGAAACAACTTTGGTCCAAAGCATTTTAGCCATGAACTTCTCATTCTTAATCCAAAACTTTTTTTTATAGAGTATGTACCTTTAGTTATACTTATTAAGACTCTTTTTAGAGTCAGCTAAAGTAGGGTTAGAATCACGGCTCCAACACCTCTTTAGACCTCAGAATCCTGACCTGTAATATAACTATGTCACAACATTTCAAAGATGAAAGAAGGTGATGCATGCAGAGTAGTCTGTAAGTACTAGCTGCCATATTGATGAAGGACAGTAGTGACGCCATTGGCAAGCTTCCACCCAGTTACTGCTTGCTTAAGGTCTTTGTTTCATTTAAGTAGGAACTTTACTCTTTATTATATGACTGTCTTTTCAGGTTTCAAATAAGGAATTGACTCCACTAAGTCCTTCTGAAGTAGGGGAGCTAGAAGCTACAAGGCAAAACCAGAACACTGTTGCTCTCCACAGTAATGAACTACTCCTCAGTAAGTTTTCCTTGGCAACTCTTCGCCATTTTCGTTTTCCCAAAACTTCTTCTTAGTCATTCGATTGTCAGGATCAGGAGATTTCTAGAGAAGCAAAGCACTTTAAATTAACATTTTTTCATTTAAAACTCTAAAAATAGAATAACAACACTATTGGCTTTTAAATGCATATTGCTTTTCATTAAAAATTCAGTTGTCACTAATTCAGTTATGGGTAATACTAAATACACACAACTTTTTTAAAAACTAAAATATTTCTATCTAGGGGAAAAAATGCCCATTTTCAAGAACTTACATTCTCAAGAACTTTTAAAGGATGTTGATCATTGAAAGTTTCATATATAATCAATTATTTTAATAATGTTTATGCAAAGTCCAAATTGAGTAAATTGAGTAACACCCTTTTATGGCCCCCATAACTGGCACTAATTGATCAATTGAAAATGTATATTAAAGAGAATCAAAGGACTAGAAGAAAGTTGGATATTGGCTGCACACAGAAGCACATACTAACCATCTCACAGTCTATTGTCCTTTGAAAGATATTTAGAAAACTGGTTAATCTTTTTATTTGTTTAACCCTCAATTTCTAGAACCTCTTCCTTATCTTAACTTAAAATCTCTATGGTTTCTTCTTATTTCTTTTTTCAATTAAGAAATCTAGTTAACCCTCATTTATAAGAGTATTTAAAATTTTTTTTTAATTTAAAAGAGAATATTTCAAATTGAAGAGGTCCAAGAGCTGAACAGAAAAATTCAAAGATAAGCCCCAGAAGATAAAGCCAAATACTATAATAAAATATGCAAAGATTTAGAGTTAGAAAACCAAAAGGGAAGAACACGGTCAGCATTTCTCAAGCTGGGGGAACT